TATTTTAATATGATTTCCCTACGACTTTAAGATAACCACGCCCCTTTAACGGCTCAACGTTAGGCCACAGAGGAGCCAATGAGGAATTCCTTGAAGAGCTCCGCCCACCCTTCCATTCCCTGAGCCATGGGGGCGTGGCCACAAACTGAGGCCTTAGAGCCGTCTGTCCTGCCGTTGCCATGGTGAATCATGTTTGATGAAAGCTTCCTATTGGCTCAGGCTAAACTGAGGGTAGGACGGCCATCTTTTCTGGTCGGAGCCTAATGTTGAGCTAGACTCTGTTGTCATAGAAACCAGGTAACCAGGAAAGCTGTTCCTGGTTTTCCAACAGCGAGATTTGACTTCTTTTTTTTTTTCTATAATTGACTTTTTTATTTCTGATGTACAAAAATAGAAGAAAATAACTGCGTTTCTTTAGCGTTTACTGAATAAATACAGATGAAAGGTTTGAAATATATAAAAGAGAAAATTTACAAGATAAATACTGAAATGACCGAAAAGCTAAACTTAGATTAAATCAAGTTAAAGTAAAACGCTGCCTTTAAGTTCAGGTGTTTGTTAAGTGAGCTTCTCATGAGTGACAGCGGTGGCAGCCAATCACACAAGAAAAGATGGAGGGCCAATCAGGAGCTTGTGGTCTTTGGTTTTCCGCTTGGTCCTAGTGCTCGACGAATATCTGAGCATCGTAGTGTGACTCTGGCCGTTTCCCAATTGAGTTTAGTCTATTTGTCCTTCCAGTATTCCTGCACTTCTAAACATTTCCAAAGAATGTGGCTGATCTGCTCCCCTCACCGTCTCCTGCGTGGTCATTCTGTAAATTTATTTAATTAATTTATAAAAACCTTCCAGTGTTTTCCCGGCAGAATTCCCTCCACATCCTGCAGCTGGCGGCGGTTTGCTGAGCATCACATCAGAGATGGGCAATGTGGAGTCAACAAGTCATCTCCATGTCATGTATTTAATCTACCCAGCCAATTAACCAGGTGAGTCCAATCTGCACAGGTTAATTCACCTTGAAGATTGGACTCAGCTGCTTCAGTGGCTGGGTAGAACAAATACATGACATGGAGATGACTTGTTGACTCCACATTGCCCATGTCTGCATCACATATGTTCATCCATTCCTCGCCACATCGTGAAACCTTAAACTCTGACTCCTATAAACAAGGTTCCTCTGCTCTATTTTTAGATGCTTTACAAAGTGTTAATATCTCCTCATTCAGTTGTTCTAGAAGATTTCCTTTCTTTTTTTTTAGGAAGTATTTTCTAAAGTGGAAACGTGTCGAAATCATCGTAGCTATGATCCTTTCAGACTTTGGAAACTTTTCATTTTCACTTTAAAACAGAACTTTAAGGTTTTCTTTATTGAGGTCTCTAGAGTTGGGTTTTAAGTTTTGTCAATAATTTCTTTCTTCTGCTTTTAACATTATTTTAACCATAAAATGGCCGCTGATGGATCCACCAGGTTTTTAGATGGAAACTGGCTTTTGTGAATTTATTCCATGTGTGCAGATTTAGAGGAAGTTTGATTAAATATCAAGTAAACGGCAGAAAACAAGAAGGAGATCCATCTGGGAGGCAGATGATCCACTGCTGGGAGCAGGAGGCCTCAGCTGGAGGAGCAGAGGGAGTAACCTCAGCCCTCCCTCCCCCCACCTCCAATAAAAGCTTCCTGGATGGGAAGCGAAACATCTTCAAACGTAGAAATAAAATCCTGTGGTTTTTTTTTTTTTTTTGGAACAGCATCAAAAAGGAAACAAGCAGAAATAAAACATAAAAACTTTATAAAATCATTATGTTGGATTCCTGTCAGCTGTTTTCAATCAGCCTTATTTTATTTCTCCTTTTTTAGTTTCGTTTTTTTTATTTGTTTATTTAAAGGTTTCCTGTTTTTAGTTTTCTTCTAAATAAAGTTAAAAATAAAAACTTGGCTGCTGTTTTAAACTCGGTGATGACGGGCAGGCACGTGATTGGCCGAGCTGAACATGAGGCGGGCAGCGATTGGCTGGTTGGACTGACTCTGGTTTCACTTCCATCAGAAAGACCATTTTTTCAGGTACAACAGAATACATGTCAGATTAAATAATACTACTTATACTTCAGCCATACCATCTTTATTGTATCTCTTATATCCGTTAGTTTTCGCTGTTCTTATTCACAAAAAAAAGAGCAAAATACAAATTTATAAAAAAAAACAAAAACATGTAATAGAAATAATAAA